TAAATAATCACCACTTATAAAGGCTAATATTGCGCTTAAGTGGACCTGCTGATCATACATGTATATGCGTAATACGTTATATCGTATTGTATTGTACCTCAATTAGTGGGGCAAAATTGACATTAGAAAAATGGCTACTTCAATTTGCAATTTGTTTCAATATATTGGTTCTTTCAGCTCAAGGGGAAGAAAGTAATAAAGGTCTGTTTAGTTCACTGATTCAAGTTTTTTATTCGAATTGAGATGTGACTTTATGTGAGAGCTTTTTACTGTAGTAAAAAAATTAGATGTGACTGTTTCTGAGAGCTTTTTACTGTAGCAAAATTCAAATTCTAAACTCGAATCTGTGAAATGAACATGTCATAAGTTACTAATTAATATGATCGAATTTCTCAAGATCAAGGGGGCGTTCACTTCACTAACTCAAATTTTATGATTCGAGTTAAAAAACTAGATTCGAGTTTCAAAAAATTTGAGTGTAATTTGAAATTTAGAGTCCGTTTGATTCATACATTAAAACCATAAGATTAGAACTATTTTTGATTTACGTGTGTTTTTTATGAGATAAAATACTGTACCGAACTATGAATCATGATTCGAATCAGAGAACGAATCCTCCAACCAAACGGGTTCTTAGAGTTTAGTGTTTAGGTGTTGACTATTTAACTTTTGAAACTTGAGTTTTGTGTTCACTTATACAAATGTCAAACTCCAATTAATTTCAACATTGACATGCATTTCTGTTATGTAAAAAACGTGAACATACGTCTGGCATGTATTTCCCACATTGGCATGCATTTCTGTTCTTTATAAGAATATATGCATTTCCCACATTGGCATGCAAGGGGAAGAAAGCAATAAGTTACTAATTAATATGATCGAATTTCTCAAGATCAAGTCTAATTCTTCCCTTCTTAAAAATCCGGGGGGAGATCTTTTATACACACATATATACATATATACAATTATATATACATTGAGGTGCTTCCTATATATGCATATAAAATCCCTCTTCTTAAATAGGAGAATTATCTATCTACCGACATTTGTGAGCTAAAGGAAAAACACCTTTAACTTCTTAAATATTTTACAAACAACTCTGAGAAGAATCTAGTTATTGTATTTTGAAGAGTACTCCGACAACTGTACATTTTTTTATATATTTACATATACATACATGAAAGGTTTGTTTTTTAACCGGGTGTCACAAAAAGTGTTGTAATACTTGTTGTAACACTTATGACAAATACGTGCATATGGATATATTTTTTCTTTGATTCAGCAACAACAAATTATAAGTGCAGAAAGATTAACAGAAACATAAAAGACACAAGGAATTGATATCGCAGTTCGTTGCGCACATCTACATCTGCAGAGCCACGCCCAGACAGTGAACAATCCACTAAGATAAAGTAATTACAAACACCAATCGGTCTTACACACTCAAAGACTCTCTCCTTGATGTTGTTACCGCTGTGTAGAATTTTCTTAGAGGCATTGTCCAGTGAGCACCACTCGTCTTTGAAAACTTTCTCCCGAAAGCAATTCGTCATCCTCCTGAAGAATCACTTTTTGCTATTTTCTCTCAAAGGACATTCAAACAACTTTTTTTGCATAATATTTCAATCAAAAGCTCTACCTCACGTTCATCGCTGCATACTAATTATATACAACCTAAATTGGTTAACAGACCCGCATATTCTCTCACTAAAATTAGCTTAAATAAAACAACTTATCCTCCAAGGATTCTTCCCTTACATAGAGCCCATCAATTAGCCACTAAAAGTCAAACCAATCAGCTCCATAAACTGATTTCATTTTGTTGAGGAAATCATCTCAAATCATCATCCAAAATCTAGTGCAAGTAGCCAAGAATAGAGTCTCCATAGCAGTCCACAATCTTGTTGATTTTGTTTTTAAATTTACAATATTTTACCAACAAATAGTCCTAACAATACACACACACACTATATATATATATATATATATAACTTTTTTTGCACTTGAAAGTTAAATACCCTGAGGAAAAAAAAACGTCGAATAACGATTTTATTCAAATTCATCAAATTATAAACTAAAGGAGAAAGGGTTGATGTTACTCCACCTAGTTTTTCATTTATTTAATCAACATATCACATTGAACCTTTTTTTTTTTATGAGTCTCTTTTTATCTCATATTTGTTCCATCAGAAGTGAAAGATATTCCCTTCCGGAGCATAAAGGGTATGACACTTTTTTTTTTGTTTTGCCCTTTTATTCATAATTTTTTAGGTTCTTATAATCTGGACAAGAGTTTGCGCAAGTACTTCGAATATGTATGCGAAAGTACTTCGAATATGCTGTGATCTCGGAAACGTTAATTACAAAATTCTAATCATAGTTCCACTAGACAGAGGAGAAAAAAAAAAAAAAAGACCTTTCCTCCTTATAACAAAAGACCATATTGCAATATCTGGACATATCTTCGCGTTGCTAAACATTAATCAGTCTCCGTAATTATTGGTTGAAAGGGCCGAATCTACTTACACAGTTGTTTTTCGTAAAAATTAGAGAGTGAATCAATAGTTTTTATTTTTATTTTATTACTTTTTCTTCAGTTTTATCATCATTCCAGTTACATTCTTTTATGGTTTAATAAACGTACTCTTAAAATATTTCTAATTGTTCCAATAGTTAATCAAATCTATCTAATCTAATCTAACACTATATAAAAAGCTCAATATAAGTTACTGCACATTGCCTTTCAACAAAATGAGAGTTTTTGGCCGTGTTTAGAATTGATCCCGTTTTTATTTTTCACGCTTTTTGAGAAAGGAAAAATGCAAACGTTTTCAAAACGACGTTTGGCGCAATAAAGATAAAAAATAAAAATAAAAATGATTTTTTAATTTAGTGTAAAATGAGAGAAAAATGAAAAACGACTTAGTCGTTTTTCATTTTTTATTTTCGTTTTCTCCTATCTCGAGCAGAGAGAAAGAGAGAGAGACATTAATAAATTTTATTTTTATTCTCAACATGCATATTTTGTAAGACTGGGCATTAGAGTGAAGGAGAAATAGTAACATTTTTTTTATTATTATTAGTATTTATTGTTTGAGACTGAATTTTTAAATAGAGATGACCAGAGCCAATAGCCATGAGTGTCGTAACGTAAGGGGTTGCATCACTTCCAACGTCTGCGCCAAAAGAAAAGGGTAAAAGGAAAACAAAAAAGAGAGCAGTACAAACAAACAAATAAAAGATACAAACAAACAATAGAAAATATCAAGCCTATATCGTGATTCATGACCATAGTTTGAGTTGGTTGAAGCTTGTGCCTCATTTGGGAGAGAGAGAGAGAGAGAGAGAGAGAGAGAATATAAAGAGAGGAAGTGGTAGATAATGTGGACGAAATGGAGAGAGAGGGAGGGAGGGAGGGAGGGAGAGGTCATTTCTGTTTTAAGTACAGTACTGCGCAGTACGAAAAGGAGACAAAACAATTGATTTTGTTTGTATTATTGTTTTATCCTTTGGTATAGGGTTGATAATCCGGATAGCGACACGATCACACGATTCAAAATCTGCACAAAATTAACGGGTTTAAGTTTATCATAAATAGGTACAGGTCAAAATCAGGTTGAACCCGTGAAACACGATTAAATAACGTGTCATTTTCAGGTTGACCCGTCAACCCGTAATTGACCCGCCATAACCCGTTTATTAAACGTGTCATATTTTAGTAACACGAATACACAACCCGTTTATAACTCATTTTATAAATAGGTTAAAAAATAGGTTCAGACGACCTATTTATCACATATTTTATAAACATGTTCAAAAATAAGTTCATAAATAGGTTAATACGACCAATTTATCACCCATTTTATAAATGGGTTGACAGGTAATCAATAGGTTGACACGACACGTTTATGACATGTTTAATAAACGGGTTATTCGTGTCGTGTTGTGTCAACCCGCTAATAAACATGTCGTGTTTGGATTTTGTATTTCGACACGATTAATAAACGGGTCGTGTTCGTGTCAGACCTATTCGTGTCAACTGAAGGAATTAACACGACCTGCCAACCCGAATTGTCACCCCTACTTTGGTAGGATATTTTGGTTTTCTTCGAGGGATAGTAAAATAAATTGATACTATATATAGTTCAATTAAGTGGATAAGTTCCAACTAGCAATCCCCACAAATGATAAAGGATACAAATTGTGGTTTTTATTTTTATTTTTTTATAACGATTTTCTCACCTAATTCATTTGCACCTCTAGTCCATCTTACTAAACAATTATGGTCCTTTTTTCTTTCTTTCTTTCTTTCTTTCTTTCAATAGATGAAATTTAAATAACCATATAATTAACTAATGTTCAAATTTAAATAACCATGCAGCAGGCAAATCGGATTACCAGCAGGGTCAAAACATATAATCAATATTTAGTTTCAAAAACTTGATATTTGATTATTTACTAATATAAATATATATATATATATATAACTAAGAATAGCACAACAATAATCGATTTTAATGGAGGCATTAGACGAGAGCAACAGTATTTCGTCTAGATTACCAGCAACTCAAGGCAGAGTGGCTTTATCTCCCTTTCTTATTGCCTTTTCCAAAAGAAGATGTAAAATGTGACCAATTAATATTATTATCAATAGAATCTCCAACCTCGAGCTAGTTAAATGTAACACGTCTCTCTATGTATTCGACCGAAACCACATATTTCCGGAGACTCATGGTTTCACGTGATTAATCCTTTCATTTGTTCATTGGATGAGCAAAAGTGTACATATTTTATACTTCTTCTTTTAACTAGCTAGTGGTTAATTTCACTATTTTAATTGAAACTAAAATTTTCACATGCAGAAAACAAAAACAAAAAAAGGTTAAAAAGTATTGATTGCTTTTTCGGCGTTTCTTAGTTGAACATCATGATGTTCTTGAAATTAAATATGCAAAACAAAAGGGTCAATAATGTAAAATATATCTATACCATATTTTGCTTTTAACAAAACCATAAGCAAAATAGTTTACACTTTACAATATTGGTGACATTCCAAAACGCATGCATGGTCGTTTCAGTACAAAAAGGCTGAAACCACGCTCAGTACTAGCTAGTATTTTTTTAACGTAAAGAACTTCACACAATATTCACTGAAATACATGCTTTCTCCTAGACTATAGGTCCTTCATAACGTACATTATAACAAAAATACCCTTTTTTTTCCTTCTAATTTTGCCCTAATTTAGCTAATAAGTATACAAAACGTAACTATAATTAACATATACATAATACATCCTTGATTTCAACTACCAAGAGCCCAAAATTGAGGAAGTGACCTGCTTGTGGAAGAGGCTTTTCTCCATCTTGCCAGACGCAATAAAAAGGTCAACACTTGAGATGGGTCGTGCAATGAATATGAAGCTTTGGTGTCCTTTGGTATGGAAGACACGATTATTGGAAACCCTTGTCCTCTACTCCGTATGGCCTGCAAAGTTAAGGGATCACCAAACATTAAAAAAGTTTCAGATATGTGTATATATATATATATGTATATATATATATATGCGCACATGCTGAGTAGGTTAAGTTACACGATTTTATGTTCTTCCCACAACTTCACAAAGGTATACAGAGAACCTAGAAGATATGATTTAGAATATTTGGTGCTTTTGCCTTTTTGAACTTTTTAGGAATTGATAAGTTGTCTATTGAAATTTTTAACGTTTAAAATTATCCCTTAAATTTAATAGAGTGTTTTATAAAGTGTCTCAAATCGACCGCTAAAATTAAGACAAAAACGCTCAAATGTATGTTTTACGTCATGTGTACATTTTGTTCTTGATACTCGAAATTCTAGTCTCTACCTTTCAATTGAGCTCATGCGATGTGCACGAGGTGTTTCCATCCAAATTTTCACATTTTTTTTTCTTTTTGCGAACACTTTACAACACCTTACTAAATTCAGTGCCAATTTACTAAAACTAAAAATTTTGAGGATAAAACTTGCCAATTAAAGAAACATTCCAGAGTAGAAGCGTTAGAAAACCCTGTATCAATTTATGTATACTACACGTTATGTTGTTAGGCATTGCATATATAGTCATACATGCAAATGACCACATATGGGTGTAAGGTTAGGCGGGGCTTAAGTTTAGCTGGGTTCGGGTTTGATCCCGCATTTATAGGTTGGTGTGTGCACGCGCGTGTGTAAGAGCCCGTTTAATTCGCTGATTTGAGTTTTTAATTTGAGTTGATATGTGACTTTATGTGAGAACTTTTTACTGTTGTGAAAAAGTTAGATGTGACTGTTCTAATAACTTTTTATTGTAGCAAAACTCGAATCGGTGAAATGAATGGGGCCTAAGTGTAGTCATAAGTGTAGCAAGTTGATCTTGTACTTTTTAATTAAATGTTAGTTATACCTTGAATGCATCTTCATCAGTTCGATCGTCGCCAATGTAAAACGGAAGGACGTCACTGGAATTGCTAAAGCCAAGGGTGTCTAGTAAATATTCCAGGGCGTGGCCTTTGTTCCATTCTATTGACGGTCGTATTTCCATAACCTGCATGCATATATATATATATATATATATATATAAACCTTTTAATAATGAAATGAAAAACTAATTCATAAACACAAGAATAATTTGGCCTCTAACATAGTTAAATTACTACTAGAATGGATGCATAGTAAAGTTAATTTTATGAGATTTTCTCTTACCTTTTTACCCCAAGCTAAGTGAAACTCTGGGTAGTTTTCAATCACAGACTTCACCTTCTCTTCCAATATGCCATAGTCCTGCCATGATTAATTTGAGACTAATTAATTTGAAATGTCTCACTCTAGGTTAATGAAAACGTTTTTAACGTTGTTGAAGAACTTTTACTCTACAATAATAATAATAATAATAATAATAATAATAATAATAATAATAAAAGATCATTGATTACCTCTTCCCTGACCTTCCGGAAATGTACTGATACACAAAATCTATTGTCTTCTAATTTGGCGCCTTGAATATTCCGGGTTTTTTCCTCTAATTTTGCGATAATCTGTCCCAAGAAGATTGTGAATTTTGTTTAAAATTTATAATGAAAGGGAAAAATAAATAAATAAAACTAAGGTAAGGAAAAGCAGTTGCCAATTTGTGGGCGCAGCTGACAATGCAATAATAATTTGGACTTTGAATTAACATTGCAATTTATTAATTAAATTAATTTTGACATTTCTCATGGAATAAATTGAAAATCACTGCAAAAGGCTAAATCATAGTAGTTAGTTAAGCTAATAACCTCTTGAATGGCAGGCAGGAACCTTTGTGCAGGTTGAAAAAGAACATCACTACTGCTGCCCTGTAATTAATACTTGTTCATTAATTCTTATAATAAGATAATTGGATATATACATATATATGTATATATATATATATTTACTGAATTCAAATTAATGCTTACTATTTAACATATGCTAATTTCTAAAGATTATGAAAAAAAGAAAGAAAGAAAAGTTTTTGCGGGAAGATATTGACCTTTTTGTCCCCGGGAATGGCATGGTTTTTGGCATCATTAACACTGGATTTGAGTGGCTTTGCTGGGGTCATAATGTCCATTCCATGGCTTCCCGCGTAATACACATTACTCAACTGTACAAATTGTTTGACCTGAAATCCATCGAAAAATTGTTATAACCATGCTATCATTATGAACAATATGAACAAAGGGTTTTATATTATAAGTTATATATATATATATATGTGTGTGTGTGTGTATGTATATATATATGTATATGTGCTTCATACATTGAATCAATGATTCAGTTTGAAGATTCGCTGGACTACTTGAGAGGTCATTAATTACCTTATCTCGGCTCCTTCCGCTGATAATTGCTGTCGGAAAATATTTTGCTACTTCACGAACTGCTGCACGCATCTGCCATATTATATACATAATTTATATCGGAAAGAAGAAAAAGGGTCAATAAAAAAGAGAAAAAAAATTAATTAATTATTGTACGGTACTGCTACACGTATACCTAATGGCGAGGCTGTTCATGGTTGAGGGAGGCACTCCTTTACAAATTTGTGACTTTCTTTCTCACGTTTGCTCCCACTAAACTTTACATTTTCTTTTTCCTATATTTTTCATGTTATTTATTTATCATAAAAATTTTACTATAAAATGATAAAAGAGCCACTGCCCATACCCTTATCTACACTTTTAGTACTTCTATGTATCCTATTTAAGTATGTGAAAGTAAGAGTGCGTTTGGTAAATAAATCTAAAATCATCTTAGAATTATATTTCTGAATTTTAGTTTAAAATTAGTGTTTGTTTATAGTGATTTTAAATCATAATTCAGAATCAGTGCTTGGTTTAAATGATTCTGAATCATAATTCAAAATCTGATGTGATGTTTTAAACAACTCAAATCATGATTCTAAAACCATTCCTTCAACTTGATTCAAGGTTATTCAAACTTATGATTCTGAATAATGGTTTCAGAATCATGATTTGAACTCAAAATTATGAATCATGGTTCTGATTCCAGAATCATAAATAGAATCACCATAGTTTAAATCCTCGTACCAAACGAACCCTAAATATCAGACATATGGAGTGGGCTGATATAGTCGTCTATACACGCTATGCATACACAAAATGCACGTGAATATAGAAAGTGTGAAAAATAATGATAAAAAGAGTGATGCTAGTATTTTTTATATAAATAGTATTTAAATGTGACCCAAAAAAGTGAATTCTTCTAATTCACTCCACGTATGTGTATGTAGTATGCACGTTTGTATGTTGTAATACTTAAAAGAAACAAAAAAGAGCCAATCATGACATGATAGCATGATTAAATACCTCATCAGACATGAAAGCAAGATCAGGGTCATCGACAATGGGTGAGAGGGTCCCATCGTAATCTAGAAACACGACTATCCTCTT